AGGCCAATCTTGGAATCCCAAGGAAGCAGCCTCAGGAGCCTCTGCCTCGGGGAAATCACCCACCCGCAAAGGGCTGGGTCTCCCGTGTTCATTGTCTTTGACGATCAGGTCTTCTGCTCCTGTGCTGGCCTCCGCCCCGCGGTGCGGGCCCCTTAGGGACGCTGGAGGCAGAGCAGAGGCAGCTACAGGGTGACACTGCCACCGAGAAAGGAGAAAATTCCTGCTCCTGCCGCCGAGCTGTGCCTCAGACGCCATTGCTCTTGGAGGAGGGCTCCCTTAGAGGGGTTCCCAAGGAAGAACCCTGGGCCGAGTGGCGCTGTGGCCTCCACTGTTCCGACCAGCAGGGGTCATCTCGTCCTTCCCGGGGCAGGAGGCCCACAGGCTGCCACCAGAGGCCAGCGCAGCTGGGCAGACAGTCACGCGCTTCTGCCAGGGTTGTGGGGGCATCGTCAGCCTTTGTTTCCCTTGGTCAGGAGCCGGGACTGGTAGGGATAGAGCGCAGGGCGGGCCTGCTACCGTTGAGGGTGGAGTGGTGGAGCAGCAAGGGCTGGGGCGCAAGGCGGCTCCGTGGAAGACCCACAACGCGACCAGACCAAGGTAGATACAGCCGTTGCCGCCTAAGGCAGGATTTAAGCGGCTGTAGATCGTCTCCGCGCTGAATCAATCACGCCGGAATATCCGAGTCCCCAGCGCAGTGAGGGTCGGTGGTTGCGGGTGCGTTTCCCGTTTGGCAAGGCTCTAAAAGCTGCTCCTGCCTTCCTGGACGTGGCAGTGAGAGTGGATGGGGGGCTCAGGTCTGGCCGGAACCCAAAGTCTCCTGGGTTTGCTTTGTTCTCAGATCGGGCCCGAGCGGGAGCCGCTGCTCCACTGGGGTCTGAGCCATTGATCGGACCAGGTTTCCGGCTTCATTAGCATCTTTCAGTACCCAGGAGGCTGGGCCCATCTCCTGCTGGCTCGATAGTGGCTTTAAATAAACTAGCTGAGTCTATGCAGGTCAGAGCCCAGTAGAACAACTGTGTGGATATTCAGGGCCAAGTATACTATTCATTTGGATGATATAAGCTTACACACAGACGCACACATGCTGGCAGAATTGCTTTCTACTTAAATCATCTGCATAATTCCTGCCTTTCCCTTCCTCTTCAAGATCCAGTAACAGACACACAGGGTGCTTTGTCTTAAAGTCAGTGGAATAAATTGCAATTTGGAGGCTTTAATAAAACAAAAAATTGCAAAATAGATGTAATCTTTTACGAGATCCAGCTTTGCCCTGAATATTTGGGTGACAGCTTCAACCATGACCTCTTCTTTGGCCATGAGATTCAAAGACTTGCCTTCCAGCCAGAGGGAGGAGGCTAGAGTGTGTTTTCTTCCCTAACAGCTTTCCCAACTACTACGCATAACAATCTGTGTAGACACAATCCAACAATGTGCCTTCCTCAGGTCTGGAGTATTTCCGGAAATAAATTAAGGGTCAACTATTTGTGGCCCTCTAACAGTTATCCCTCTTTAGCCAGAAATAACTTCACTATTGAATCTCCCTGCTTCAAGCTAGCCGCACCCCAAGAGACAGGTAGCCTCTTGCCTGGATTCATGGCAGTCCTGACCTCTGTACCTTTTCTTCAGACCTGGCCACAGTCACTGGGACTCCTCCCAGCTCATGGCTTCTGGAAGCTGTCCTGCAGCTCCAGCCTCAAGGAAAGCATTCAAGGAGACATTTGTAGGAGCACCCTGAGGCTTCTGGTCTCCTTCTCACCACCCCCTCATTCCCTCTCCAGCTGCGCTGGCCAAGTTGGGGTTAGGGGATGAAGAAAGAATGAGATTTGATCTTAAGTCCACTGGTTTCTCCTGTAACAGTGGTAAAGAAAGCGAAGGAAAGAAAACTTTTAGAGCAGGAGGTGTGGCTCAGAGGCTGGGCTCCTGGGGCCTCTACTATTCCAGAGCAGCCCTTTCGGGTGGAGAAGGAATTTGGAGGAGACTCTGGAGCCAAGAAAGGGAAAGGAAGGATGGCAGAGGGAGGGCTTCCAGGCTTCCAGTTGAGATGGAAGAGGTGAGTGGAGGTGCGGAGAGCTCAAGAGCAGATTGGGGATCTGGCAACAGGCCTGGACCTGGGCCTCTGCCTTGCACTGTCCTGTGAAAGGGGGTGTGTGTGCGGGCTTTAGGAGGTGGAGCCTATTTATTCCCCTGCCTAGAAGTTGTACAGTGCACAGAACATCCTCTCAGAGCGAGGCTGCAGGGTTAGGACAAAAGGCTAGGGCTGAGGATCTGCCAACCCCTACCCCTAACCCAGTACACTAAGGTCATGCATACCACCTGAGTCCCAGTTCCAGTCCATTCACATGTCTACCCGGGTTTAACCACACAGGCCTACTTTTCTGGCCCTGAAGCTCATCTATCCAGATGTCTACCCTCTTTTTGTGGTCCATTCCTCTCCTCAATCTGCTCGTGCCCACTGACACTCTCTCTGCTAGTAAGTAGTTTCTTGGGACTGGAGGATGGCAGCTCATCAATAAGATGTTGGTTGCTCATATATTCTTGTTGCCTCTGCAACCTCTTTTCCCTTATTACACATTTATAATTTTTATTCTTCACCTAGACCTGAGAAAATAAAGTGGAGGAACATCCAGAAGTGGGGTACTCTTTTTTCTGGGCATAGGAGATCATGTGTGGGCAGACATTTAAAAATAGTTCTAAGAAGAATCACATCATTATCCATTCGTGTTTTAATTATTATTAATATTAATATGATGAAGCAACTCTGTACAAGGATTATATAAAGGGAAAACGTGCTAAAGACGGACATTTGGATAGGAGGGCATACTACAGAGCACTGGGAAGGGTGACTACCCACAGGGACTACACTAGGTACTAGCAAAAGACACATAGAACTGGACACAATTTGACAGAAACTCACCAAAGTCAAGTTTAAAGCAACAGGAAGAGAATATTGCATATCTTTGTCCCGCACCCCTTTTGGAGTGTCTGGTCTCTCTCTCAGGCTGTAGAAGTCAGGCTTGGGGTGATGGAACTGGAATCCAACCCCCAGGGTCCACCAGGTCACGAAGGGAGGGGATTATGTGAAGAGGTACCATGGATGACCAGGCAAGGAGTTTGTTTCATATCCAAGGCTAGCCCACAGAAGACAGTGTGGTTGCCTGGAGTGGTGGTGAGTAGTACATGGATGGAACAAATGAGTGTAGGCATGACGAATTTCGGGTATCCAATCGAAGAGTGTGTGTGATTTCACCTCCACTCTACAGGGTTGTGCTAGGCTATGAAGAGGCCAGCCAGCAAATACAGTAGAGAGTGGGTACACTCAGAGCTGTGCTGGACACAGGGTGTGTGTGTGTGTGTGTGTGTGTGTGTGTGTGTGTGTGAACCTCTCTGCATAATCCTGTACAGGTGCTTCTGGATAGTGGGTTTCCAAGAATCTCCCCAGGTGAGAAGCTTCTGCTTCACACTGTGCAGACTGGACTTAACTTCCATCAGTCCCACTTCTCTCGCTTCTTGCTCAGGACAAGGGTCTTGCTAGCAGATGGGAGGGAGATTGAGTTTTGGAAAAGGGGAAAAGAAGTGCAAGCGGGCAGCCTGCTCTTCACTGCGGAGCGCTCACGGCTGGGCTCAAGGCAGCTAGCCCAAGGTCTAGCTGGAGCTGTAGCTTAAAAGGCTTATGGATAAAAGGTTTTCACGCTCCAAGAAGCCACCTTCTGGCCTCAAATAACTTCTGGGGATGTGCCCCACTCTCTGCTCTAGTCCTTGTAATCTGGGGCTTGTTGGCCAGAGGCGGAGGCAGCCAAGCTTGAAACAAAGGGCTTCGTTGGGGGGCGGATGAAGTGGGGGTGGGGAAAAGAGAAAAAGAAGGAGGGTGGGGGGCTGTAGCGCCCCCTCCTTCATTGTCACCAGCCTGGGAAACCCGGGCTGAGTGGGGCCTCAGCGGCTGGTAGCCCCTTTAAGGTTGGATTCTCCTCCCGCCTCGTAAATTACTCTGGTCCAGCCTCCGGCCATGACCGTGAACGCCAGCGGGGAAGGTGGAATCCGCCGGCACCCCGGCTGCCAGGAACTCTGCAGACCAATCAGTCCCGCGCTCTGCAGCCCCTTCCTCAGCCTCCTGGGCTTACCGAAAGAGGACCAGGTGGGGATCCCTGGGGTGGCTACCAAGCCCGAGGCCGCGTCCTCTCCCCTCCATTCCCTGCTGGCGGGTTCTCGTGCGCAGCTGCCTACGTGGGAAGCGTGGCTGGGGCACACCTGTGCGCCCCTAAGCGGAGCAAGTCGCGGGTGGCAAGTCTGGAAGGGCTCTGCAGCCGAGAGAGCTCGCGGGCATTTCTGCCCTGGAGGGAACATGCGGCTGAGGATCTGCTTGTCCGCAGCCTGGTCAGCCAAACACCTTCGCCCTCAGTGCTCAGGACCGAGGGACCCACAGCCGGCCACTCTGGGCCCGGCAAAGATGTTCTTAACCCCTAGACAACACTTCATTTTTGGTTCCCCACTTCCTCCTGGCTAGTCCACTCTTTTTAGTCTTCACTCTCTTTTGCCACTGTAGCCTCTCCTATCCGGCCTACTAGGAGTTTGGGGAGCCCTTGGTTCCCTGTCCCCACCCTTGCCTACTCCTGCAGACAGGGACCTGAGACCTGGGAAGAGAAATGGTGAGAAACAACCTGGGTTGCAGCTCTTCAGATCCTAGGGGAAGGCGAAACGACCCAGCCTTGCCTCACATGGACCAGCTTTACGCGTGCGTGCCTGCCCCTGCTACCCTCTGCAGCCCTGGGCTTCCTCTCTTACTGGCTGGCTTTCTCCCCTTCTCCCTGGGACCTAGCAGGGCCTGCTGGTGTGTGTGTGTGTGTGTGCGAGGGAACCACGAACAAAACAGACAAGAAGACGTCCAAGGAGGGCCTGACAGAGACGCCTGGCGTTCTAAGCGGGGTGGGTGTCCCAGATGGTGTCCCCTCTTGATCTCTGCCAGGGCCAGGTTCAGTCTGGGGCTGGTGCCCGTGTCCCGCCCCCTAAAAGAAGGAGAGGGCTTGCTCCCTCAACAGAAGTCTTTTCTTTTTCATTCTCCGGTTTTGAAACCAGATCTTGACCTGCTGGTCACTAAGATTCAACCGGTCCGAGAGTTCCCTTCGGCGCTGGCGCGTGATGAACTCATTCACCAGAAATTCACCCTCGAGCTCTGCCAGCTGCAACTTGGAATAGGGCTTGCGCTTCTTCCGCGAACGGCTGTGGATCGGGTACCAGGGTGCGCCTGGGTGGAGATGAACCACACAGTTGGCCAGTGGAACAAGAAGTGACCAGCCTTGTGCCCCTGGTCTTTCCCCAGCCCAGTTCGCTTCAGCAGCAGGCCGGGTACTAGGCCTGTTCTCTCCCTTCTCCACTCTGGCAGCTGTCCTGTAGCCTCAGGTACCCAGATCCTATCCCTACGAACTTGCCCATCTCCATCCTTCTCCTTTGCCTCCTCCCGTTCTCTTCCCTTGCCTCCTCAGTCTCTCCATCCAGTTGCAGTGCTCCTTCCACGTCCCTGTTTCTACTCCCAAACTTCTCTCATTTCTTCTCTCCTATTTTCTGACCCGTTTACTCACACCCTCCAGGCTGAGTGCAACAGCAGTTAGAACACAAATAGGAAAGCCATATGCACTGGCATTTCTTAAAAAAAAAAAATTTATAGATAATGGAGTATTGAAACATGGAGGGAGCAACAACTGGCCCCACTCTCATCCTACTCCAACTTGGGACTAGAAGTCGGTGGGATCTCCCTTTCCAGAGCTCCCTACCCTGTCCAGCCACAGAACAGGGGCAAAAAGGGAAAATCTCCACTTCTTTTATGGGGATATTTGCATGTTTATAGAGTTCCCCCTTCTTTTTAAAAGAAGCAGCACTTTCTTACGACACAGTCTGTCAGTCACCCCAGGCGGCCCTGGTTCAGTCCCATCCCTCCTGCCTGGCTAAGCTGGCCCTTCTGGAGCGCGCCTCCTGAGCACGCTGGGGTCCTTACCACTGGCCGAGAGCCCGCCGCCGGGATTCAACGGGGACACCAAAGCTCCGGGGTCGCCGGCACCGGCGCCCTTGTTGCCCTCGTTGAGCAAAGAAGAACTGGAGTCAGATTCCAGCGACTGGCACGAGGGCGGGTCGTGCGGAGGCCCCGCGCCGCCGTCGCCGCCACCGCCCCCT